TTTGCGCACACCCACACACACACGCACATACACACACACACACACACACACACACACACACACACACACACACACACACACACACACACACACACAACCGGATACGTAAAAGAAGGGAGGAGGGGCAGGGTATGGGGCGGAGGATCGATGCAACATGGGTGGACATGGTGGGAGAACACACACGTGAGGGTGTGAATGGAGCCTGGTGGTCGATGCACGTGCGTGTAGGCAATCAAGACAACGCGCAAGTGTTGCATACAACACACACACACACACCGAACACAAAGCACACACACACACACACACACACCCCACACCCCCCCCCCCACACACACACACACACAGCCCAGCTCTCGCTGACTCCAGCAGACCTGTGAAGCGTTCTGTTGCCGCCTGTGCGATGTAGTGGAAGACGTGCTGCAAGTTGGGCGGGCAGTATGCCACGTTATCCAGCAGCAGCCGCACAACCTCGTCCACCTGGCACGTGAGCGTGCACGTGAGCGTGCGTAAGAGTGAGTGTTTGTGTGATGATGCAAGAGTGTGTATTGATGAGCAAGTGTTGGGCTGGCTAAACCAAGCATTAATGCTGGTTAGGCACATTCATGAGCAGTGTGCTTGCAGCAGCAGCAGCAGCAGCAACTTGAAGAACAGGACAAAAAAAAAAGCTACTACACTAGGACAATTGTGCCACTCACGAGTTCCTCCAGCTGCGTCGCGTTTTCCTTGAGTTTCACCGGATTTGAGAGGACGGCGGGGTTGATTTCCAGTTCGAGGTGCTGACGAATTACTTTTGCCAGGACAACCGGTCCCAGCGACACAATCAGCAACTGCAGTCACGAGTAAGGACAGCATCGCATGGTGGTGGTCGTGGTGGTCGTGGTGGTGATGATGTTGGTGGTGAGAATGATGATGAGGGTGAGATTGGGCGCAGACAAAGAGCGATGAAGGGTGATGGGAACACGCGTGGATGCAGAAATAAGTGAAGAACACGATCAACCAGCGCAGAATCGGTTTCACAAAGGCACTGGCATCAACGCACACACACACACACACGCACGCACGCACGCACAAATACACACAAACACCAATGCACACACACAAACACACACACACACACAAACACATGCCAATGCACACACCTCCTTTCCAAAGAGCTTCATGTATGTGTCGATGACCTGGACGAATGTGGCAACAGTCAGTTAATGCAACGGGGTGAGGTGTAACTGGCACACGCACACACACACACACATACACATAGCCACGCACACACACAATGCACGCACACAATGAACGCACGCACGCACGCACGCACACACACACACACACAATGCACGCACACACAAACACAAACACACGCACTCATTCACGCTGCGTGCATTTATTTACACCGTACCTTTGTCGTGAGCGTGTTGCCACGGAAGAGGGTTGGCGACTCCTTGCACGCCGCCACCTCGCTGTCCACCAACTTGGCAATGAACGTAAACGCGTGCTCTGTAGCAACACAGGACGAGAGGAAGGGGGGGGGTGGGTGAGGTGTTGAACAAGGTGCAAGGGTGTGGTGGCGGCGGGCCAATGCATGGGTGGATGTCTTTGAGTTACACACACGCAGCTGAACAGGTGCACCATTGACAACAATATGCTGAGCAGCGAAGACAACACTGAATGGTGCACAGCAAGCAACCACACCACGTGTCATGACACCGCATGCCATCACACGTGTCCACGCTGCAGCACTGACGTTTGTTGAGATAGAAGTGGAGGAGGTGGCGCGCTAGCAGCTCCTTGTTTCGAATTGCGTTTGACAGGAGCCCAACTGGCGATTGCATAATATCATCGCACTCCAAACATTGCATCAGCATGTCTTCCAGTGGTCTGTTGCGATGATAGCGTCACGGAAAAAGGGAAGGGTGAGCATACGTGCACATGTTTCGACGCGCGCGCGCGCGCGTGTGTGTGTGTGTGTGGGGGGGGGGGGTGATGTCAGGATATGCGCGCGCGCGTGCGTGTGTATAAACGCGGTTAGTTGATGCAACGCTTGTCAGCCACAACATCTTCCTGTAAACTCCATTGCCATCACCACAGCAGGCATCAGACCCAACACAAACCAACAACATCGTTCTCTTTCCGTGACATCAGTCCTCTTTACTCACTTGTATTGTTGAGGCTCCAGCAGCGCCAGCTCAGAGAACTCAAACTTTACCTGTGGGTCATCGTGTGGCGCAACGTCAGGGAGGTGAGATGGTGATGCCGACATGGCGTGGTTCGCGGGAGGCATGCGCGTCACACAATCAACAGTGGGCATGCATATGATTCACAAACTAACAAACAAACAAACAAACAAACAAACGAACAAACACACGACACAAACAACAAACACACAACAACAACAACACACACACAACAACAAACAACACACACAACAACAACAC